AATTTGTAGCTCTCTTTCCACATAAATATTAACCACCGACTGAATACCAAATATCCAATTATATGCACTTGTAAATGAAACCATAGAAGTTATTGTGAGGAATCTACAATAATAGCCATCCAAGAAGAATAATCATTATCAGGATGAATTAATGTTTCAATTTTCAACTCATCTCAACGAAACAATAAGGTTGTCTAAAGATCGGTTCATCCAAATCATGCACGAAAGTTGGTGCGAAAGAAATCATTTTCCTAGGAATGCAGCTATAGGAATATTATCTTTAACTACGGAATTAAACGGTATGAAAATTAATACGGCTGAAAGAATAGAACTTTCACATGAGAAATATACCTTAATGCAAGTCACTTGACAACAAACTTGGAGTTGGTTTGAAAAGTAAATCATATGCTTCAGCATAGAATTTTAAATGAGCTGAAATATATTTTTTTATAAGTTTCCCTATGAAAATAAGTTAAAGAGGTTTCTAGGCAGAAAAGATTGTTGAGGGGATAGATTAGAGAATATATTTAAAAAGTACTTGTGATTAGAAGAGGAAATTAACGGATATTCGAGTGGATAAGATGATAAGTTTTATGAGTTACAAATTTACCCTTTAAAATACGAAGATTGTCGCAAAATTGAGTAAAAAAGACAAAAATAATTTTTTTTTTATTATATGTACCTGTGATTAAAGAAGTAAAACTATTTCCCATCAATAATCAATTATGATAATGGACAATGTATTATCAAAAGCAAAGTCCTCTTGTGAGTAATACATTATCATAATAGATAATACATTATACCTAAAAATTACAACATTCTAGCATAAATATGCTAGAATAGATAATCCATTATACTCATATAGGTAAAAATGATGTGAATAAAGAGAGAAGAATAAAATAATAATTATATATTATTTATTTTTCTATAAAAAATTAATTACATAAAATATAATTCAATCAATTCAACTCTATCAATTAATTGTAAATTTCTCTTTATTTCTTATCTATTTTTTATTAAATCAATTTTCATTTATTTTCTCATCATTTTCCTTTTAATTCTTGCCCCTCCCCAAGCATAGCACTATAAACTTCAATAAGCATTATTAAGTCAAAATTTTTAACATAGGCACAACTATTCGATTAATTTTGTTGTTATAAGATTTTTATGCTATAAAATAATTGAAATATGAAAATAATAATAATTGAAAAGTGAATTTGTATGGATGAGACAGAGGCAAATCTTAACAGGGGTCTTTTTGATTGAATCCAGTCATCCACCTCCAGGTTTACGCAAATAAACGGTAATGTTGTGGCTATGAATATGAAATATCTATTAAAAATTAAAATTAAAAGGTATGAAGCATAAAAGATATATATGAGTGGTAGGATTAGGCAACAAAAATGTGGGTATTGGGCTAAAACATTTATTAATTAAAGGAATAGAAACATGTAATAATTAAAGTACTATTCTGCATTGCATTGCATATGGAAGAATACAGAAATAGCGTGAAACTAAAGAAAGCGTATGGAAAAGGAAAAGGAAAAGGAAAAGGAAAAGGAAAAGGAAGGAATTAATTGTCCTACTCCTACGTGCTCCTCCACCTTCTTCTGGTGCAGCTGCTCACAATCACACATTATTCATATAGATTGATAAGAAAGTAAGGAGAATAGCTAAAGAGATATTCACGCCAAACTCAGCCACCCCTGACTTAGCTTCATCAGCTGGACCCGCCGGTGCATCACTTCCAGGAATTGGCCCCGTTGCCGGCACCGGAACTGGCGTCATCACCGGCACAGCCACAGGCGACACAACCGGAACTGGGGAAGCCACCGGAACCGCTTGAATTACTGGCCCCGGAGATTGTACCGGCGCCGGAGGAGGGTTAGCCGGAACCGGTGTGATAATTGGGACGGGAGAAATGACCGGAACCGGAGAGGTAACAGGGACGGGTGATAGGACCGGCACGGGGGATTTGACCGGAACCGGGGAGATTACTGGCACGGGTACATAAATGTCAGCCGGAACTGGTGCAAGAAGCGGAACGGGTGTTGGAACGGGCGCAAGTACCGGAACGGGGGACTTAACCGGAACTGGTGTGATAATGGGAACGGGAGATATGACCGGAACGGGTGAGATGACTGGGATGAGATCCTTGGGATTTGAAAGGTGAGTGTGAGAGGGTGACATAATGAGGCTGTCCACCTGCATCACCGAAATATCGTGTTGGTCTGATTGGGAGACAATGGTTTTCAACAACCTAACGGGAAGGACGGCGTTGGCGTTAGGAAGCGCGCCAGACACGAAGGTAACGGCGCCGTTATGGATCTTGAGGACTCCGTGAGATTCCAAGAGAGTGGTGAGCGTGAGGGTTTGGTTGGGCTTGAGGCGGTGGAGGTGGAGGTTGTTGAGTGCTACGTGGACGCTCAATATGCTCTTTATGCGTTCCATTGGCTTCCCCGAGAGAGGCCCCATGCCCGTGTTGTTGACGGCCAGGACGGTCACGCCGTGTCTTCCGTTTATTGCCGTCGCCAGCTCTGTCTGCGTCAGGTAGTTGCTGAATGTGGTGTACTCTGGGTAGTGCGATAGCAGTTCTGTCACGTCGAAGCTAGCCACAAGGCAGGGCATGGCCAGCAGCAACATTGTCACTCTCAACGTCATCTTCATCTTCATCTTCATCTTCATCCACTCCATCTCTATTTCAATTCATTAATTGCTGTCACCTTCTCTCCATATATACCTGCATACTAGTACTATGCTTTTCAATTCAGATCCGTATCCCAAGCATACTATGCTATGATTTGTTCCACCAAATATTCAGCACCTTTACTCGGATGCAAACTCAGAAATTAACGAGAGTCCTTCAAATTGCTAGGTCACTTTCACGTTTCACATCCTATTCTCTATATTTAGTTTCTCATTGCTTTTCTTTCTATATGCATAATTTTCATTTAATCTCATGCATGCCATTTCTATATTAAGCATCGACTTAGAGACAATAATCATCTTAATTATGCTATTTTCCATACATATGTTGATCTCTTGTTTCATTCAATTTGAACAAATGTCTTCTTTCATTCTAATCATTATAATGCTTTCTGTTACTTGCTTACTAAACATGATTTGAGTCCACCAACATATTCTTAACTATATTTAGAATAGACACTAATTAATAAATAAAAAATCTGACTATTTATAGAATACAAAAATATAAGACACAACAATGCATTTGCCTCAGACGTCACAACTACAAAGTATGACTTTTATTTTTATCCCTACAATTCTCTAATATACCGTTAATAAATTGTGATGAAATTCTCATTCATTTATTTTTTTGGGCAAAATATTCACTCATTTTTCTGATGACTAACCACTTTTAGTTCAATTGCATTTGAACCCCCATGACTTGTTGGTAGTTTCTTTACTTTATGCACTGCCTTTAAGTTCTTTCTATCTGAATGCTGGTAATTTTACTTATAGTAATACATTCAAGAGGTGAAATCAAATGTATCTTTTTATTTGAATTAAGCTTGATGCTGATTGGGCTAACCTGATTACTTTTGGCACTATTTAAATTAATTTTTGCCTGATATCACATCGGACTAAACCGGGCTGAAATTAAATTGGGCTAGCCTGACAACTTATAAGGTGGCCTGCTCTAATTAGTAATTATTTGGCTTGACCTGCTGTATCTTTTTTGAATTACCAATTATTTATTTACTTTTTATTTGCAGGGAATTCCTGAAGCAGTGGAAGTTGCTAAATTAACTAAGAATCCTAAATTGTTACTCGTTCGTTTATGTAATTGTTTATGCATCTCACCTGATTGATTGTTCTATCCTGTTTCGTAAAAATCTTCTTATGACGCCATTTGTAAATATCAGTTCTCATACACATATGTAAAGATCATTTCCTTCTATTGGCTTTGCTCATTTAGGAGTAGGGATGGCAGCGGGGCAGGTTGAATACGAGTTTCATGATACCCGTCTCCATCTTTGTGATTCAAACCCATTCTTATACCTGTATTCGTACTCGTCGAGTATATAATTTTCGTCTCCATCTCCGTTTCTGTCAAGTATCAGATATACTCGTACCGTACCTGTACTCGTAAAAAAATATTATATTTTTCTTTAAAAAAAACTACACAATATTTTTAAATTATTTTTTCATTATAATACAATTATAATTAGATTGTTTCTCTATCTTATATTTTAATCAAGAAATTTCTTAATAATTAAACAATTATAAATATTTTACATTATAATAAATAGTTACACATAATAAAATATTAAATTTTTAACACAATTAAATCAAGGATGAGTACAGGTACGAGTTTGGATATTACTCACGGGTACGAGTTTATTTGTCATCCTTATTTCGGAAATGGTTTTTGATAGTAAGATCCTACTCAAAGTCTACTCTTATGAATTATAATCACGACAAATTTCTAACTTTCAGCAACCAAATATCGGCATAAAATGATAAGGAAGACGAACAAGGAAAAAATGGCAAATATACAACGTTCATCTGGACATTAATAGTTGTACATTATATTGGGATCCCCTACGTTTACAAGATGAAGCTTGCTCAATATATTCTCCAATGCTTGCACTGCAGTCCTGTAATGGTCATGGGATTTCTTACCTTCCTCTGCGACCTTCACAATCTGTCTGTATAAATGGTCATACCTATGAACTGGATTACTAATATCAATGCCACAACAGTTGTGATCATAAACATTGCTACGCTTCATATCTTTTCTCCATCGTGAAAGAATGTACTGAGCAGGGATCTCTTTTATCCCATTTTGACCCAAGACAAATAAAGCATGTCTACACAAGTAACCTCTGAAATTGAACAAACCACAAATGCAAAGGACCTCCATTTCAGCTTCATTATAACACACCTCATAGTCTGTTGCATCTCTCTGGTTTCCATCAACTTCAACTTGTTCCTGAACAATGTATGTGATGACCGGTCCATCAACATTTATCTGTCTGGAGTTGAAGCAAGAAAACATCCCTTCCACTTCCCTTTCAAACATTCTTAATATCTCATTGGTGTATAACTTTGAAACCTGCAGCTCAAAGTAAGACCTTGATTTCGGCACAAAGCTAGAAGATTTTGAATCCAAATCTGCCAAAGCCTCAAGTTGTCGTTTTGTCTGTAACGCATGATCATATTTTTCTACAAATTCTTTTAGGGAAGTTTGCTCGTTGAGGTACCCGTCAAAGAAAAATGATACAACATCACTTGGTTGAATTGGAAGCATTCCTGCCAAGAAGATTTCCTTCAGATAAACTGGAGCCCACCGTTTTCGATCCTCATATAAAGATTGAAGCCATTTATTGCCTCTAATTTGGTTGCTTTTCATGGTGTCCTCCCAATTTGCTTCAAAATCCTCAGCCCTCAGAGAGAAATAAACTGCTCTGTTCAAAGCTGCATTGATTGCTTCATATTCTACACAGGCTCCCAGTTTTTCTGGAACTTTTTGCATGATATTAAATAAGCAAAGGCAGTGTGTAGATCTTGGAAAGACATCAGCAACCACAGTTTGCAAGATTCCACACTGGTCAGTAATGATGACTTGTGGGGGGCGGCCTAAGATACAAGTAAGCCACGCCCTGAACAGCCACGTATATGATTCAACGGTATCACCAGCAAGCAATCCGCAACCAAACAAGATGGATTGTTTATGGTGGTTCATCCCAAGGAACAGAACTAGAGGAACTTGATATTCACCTGTCAAACACACAGTATTAATTGCTACAACATCATTAAAATAACTGTACGCCACACGGGACTTGGCATCAGCCCAGAACAAATTCCTCAAACATCCCCTCTCGTTGACATCCACCACATAGAAGAAGTCTGGATCTGCCAATTGCTGGTGACTAAAAAAATTAAGAATGGCTTCAGCATCACCTTTCTTCAGCTTCAACTGATTGGAGTAGAGGCTGATTTGGGACTTCCCTTCATCAACATCTAGACTAGCATCGATAATGACAGTTCGAAACATCCTAATTTTGTGAACCTGTTGAGAAGCAGCAGCAGCAGCAGCATCCAAATGCAGGGTTCTTTTGGTCCCAAGAGCAATGTGGTTATGGGATTTGTAAAACTTGCCACTGGTGGGGTTAATCAAGTGATTGTGGTGAAGCTCAACTTCTATAATTCTCCATCTAGTGGAGTCCATCAATCTGAACTTGATCATAGCAGGACAGCCGGTTCGGGTTTGGGGTCTAGGGCGATTGGCTTCGGTACTTTTCTTGAAGCCTGCACTGCTGCAGCTAAGTTTAGCTCTGTAACGTTCCTTGGTCTTGCGGTACCAGGTATTAGTGACCCTAACCCCAAATCCCTGTTCCTTGGCGTAGCAATTATAGAAGTAATAGACATCCTCGTAAGTCTCAAATTCCATTCCAACCGCAGGAGCAACAGGGTTAGGGTTACTTTCCCCTTCCTCATCAGCTACAGCCTCACTGTTGAGACAAACTTTATCCATCCAACTCCAACACAAACCCTAAACAACACAACACAACACCCGTTTATTCCAATCCTTATGATTAATTAATTACCTTGTTCTGTTGTCACTCTATTTCGAACCTCCTTTCGTGCGCCACCGTCTCCATTTTCTTTTTCAATTTTCTTTGCCAGACTTTCGCGACAACGTGATTAAAATTCAAATTTGTTTCTTACTTTTCTCACCATTTTCTATTTTATTTTAAATTATATTTTTATCTCTTGTAACGTATGATTTTATTCTTTTTAATTACGTAATATTTATTAATTTTAAATTTAATACAATATAAAATAAAATTTTAAAAATAATTAACTCATATAATAATATGATATATGATTATTTATCATTTTCATCCTTATATTTTTATGAATTTTATATTTTTTTAGATAAAATGTTATCAATTATCAAATATCGTAACATGAGACTTTATTTAAGAAGATCGAATTTAGTATCACTTAAATTATTATGAATTTTATTCTTGTAATTAAAAATATTTTATTTTAGTTTCTATATATATTATTTTTATTTCTTATAATTTTATATTTTAACTTTTTGTTCATATAGAGTCCTTTAATTTGTTAAAAAATTGGGTAAAATAAATATAATTATTTTACATTTGATTTATAAAAAGGTTGTGAAATAGGAAAAAAAATGGAGTTGGACAAAATAAAAATTATATTTTTTATTATTCTTTTACCTCAAACAAAGAGACTCTTTATCATGATTTTGGTATATCACCCACACCCTTAACATCACTATCTCATATTATAATTTTAAAAATAGATAGTTTAGTGGTTTAAGTAATAAAACATATTGGTGTAAAATGAATTCGATAGCATTATGAGTATAAAATTAATTTTATCCACATATGGTGAATGATTTCAATAAATCTTTGAAAAGGTTGAATTTAATTTTTTTCCTCTGAGGGCCAAGATACCCTGATACAAGAAGACAAGAAAGTTTGAAGTATTTTTCTGCAGTATTTGTAAGTGGGTTGGAGTGGAATAGTTACCGTTAAAGAGAGATAGAAATGGGGAAAAGAAGAGTGCGTTTCCCAAAGGCTTTTGAATTTCAAACATGGTATTAAAGGGACCCACCGGCGACTACGTGAATAAATTGAATTGAAATCTAGTATTTAGTATTTACCCAATTCAAGGTGTGCGTCTGAATCATGTGAATTGAAAGCATGAAGAAGAAGAACATGCATTCATCCTCCACAAAATCACGCACTTACAGCTCTCTGTATTTCAATCCCCTCAACAACGACCTCAGGCACTGCCGAAGCTGCAGCACCACCGACCATGTCCGCAAAGGCGACACCTTTCTCTTGGAAGACGACAAGGAAAACGGCGACAGGCCCAGAGCCTTTAGGTCTTTGTCCACTGACAGGATCTTGAAGCCTTCCTCGCTTGAGTTCTGCATGCAAATGAACGACCTTGAAGCAAAGTGTTTGAACAATAACAGCAACATCTGGGACTACTCTGATTCGGAGGCTGCCCCTGCTTCCTCGTGGGCCACGCTGCCCAACAAGTCCTTGATCTGTAGACCCTTGCCTTTAGATATCGGAAGCTGCACATGTTTCATTCTCAAGGAACCAACGCCACAGGGACTCTCTGGGGGCACTTTCTTCTCTCTTTACACAAATGTAATGCATTTCTGATCTACCCTTTCCCTTCCTTTATACCCATCTTTTTATGTCTTACCATTGCCATTGTTTGTATCATAGGAAGGTGAAGGACGCCAGAATAGGAAACTAGCTGTGGCCCACCACAAGCGCCGAAATGGAAGGTCTCACTTCATTCTAGCTCAGAATCTCAAAGGACTACTCTCCCATTCTGATAATACTTTTCTTGGCACCGTAACAGCTAACCTCATTGGCTCTAAATACCACATTTGGGATCAGGTATTTCATATCTATCTCTTTCTCAATATCATTATTATTTCTATTATTAATTTCTTTCATTGTTAGGGATTTCGTCATAATTCCCCTGCTAAACAACCAAATCCACCTCTTGCTGTTGTCAGGTAACCCAAAAATATCTTCATCTTTCTCCATCATGCAAACTCACATCTCTCTAACTGCAACATTTCCTTGTCTTTCAAGGTATATACCTACAATAACAACGTGTGCGGGAAGTCACAGAAGCATGAGGGCCTATATACCAAAACATCAATCTATGTCATTCAAAAACACAAACCAGGTTAACTAAAATTATTCTATCGTCATTATCTTCAATTTCAACAATTCACATCTACTATAGTCTCATTATTTGCAAACAATTGGATTAGAAGTTGCATGATTCAATTTGATAAAATGGGGTGCTTTTGGTACAGGTACAACATCTAAAAGGATTGCCTATGAATTGGGAGGGAAAACTTAACAAAGTCCATCAACTATTCTCAAAGGTTCCACTTTACAACAAGGTAGGAGCCTAAAAGGGAAGTTTCTAGGTATCTACAATCAGACATGCATCTGGATTCTGGACTTGATTAATTTCTATTGGTTTCCTACAGATTTCGAAACAATATGAGCTTGACTTTAGAGATAAAGGAAAGGCAGGACTTAGAATCCAAAGATCAGTAAAAAATTTCCAGCTAACTTTAGAGGTATGTTGAAAGTATCTTCTCGGTGGTGATTGGTGATTGGTGAATAATCTTAAAACTTATAAAACCTTCATGTCAAATTGTCTTTTTTCCTTTTTTCCTTTAAATCCTATTGTCTAGTCCATATGCATGTTTAGTCCAGCATATTTATATTTATATGCTAAGTAAGGCATTATTTGAGGTTGCTGTTCTCACTCACACCAATCTGCGTTTAGGAAAATGGAAAGCAGACGATCCTGCAGCTAGGGAGGGTGGGAAAATCAAAATTCGTTATGGAGTACAGGTATCAAATAAAGCAATAGCTTTTATTTTTTGGAAAAATGGGAGTGGGTTTGACAGCAAGTACATTTTCCTCTTGGCGCCTGCAGGTATCCTTTGACAGGTTACCAGGCATTTTGCATATGTTTGGCTTCTATAGATGCAAAGCTTTGTTGCACAGTGTAGTGGGAAATTTATGTTACCAAACGTGGTTCAACCTCTGAACTATGAGATGTTACTGCCACACAAGTAGACTGTCGTTGAGTACGTTTTTCAAAGGAAATGGAAGATCTTCTTCTCTACTAAAGTGTTCAAATCTCGCAACCAATACTGTAGAATGCTTACTTCTCTAGTCTCTGTTTTGAACTTGGCTAACCTTGTTTCTGAAAGCTTATTTATCTCTATTTTATATAATGTAATGTTTCTTTTCTGGGGTACCTTCCCATTTCGTCTAATTAACTACGAGAATGACATGACAATATATGTTGATGTAAATGAAATGCAGTGAAGAAAAAATAGAGACATTTTACATGTTCGATTCAAAATGATAAGAAAAATCAATTTTTTGTGTGTGCTGAATATAAGAAAATCCTTTTCGGATACGAGTAGAGGAAGGGAAATAGTCTAGAAAGAAAAAGTAAGAAAAAGAAAAGAGCGATGTAAATATCAAATAAGTATATATTATTGTTGCAATATTTTAAATAGTTATAATAAAAAACAGTAAATTTACATTGCATTATAATGCAAAAATATTTATATTACCAATGCATATATTACTAAATCTTTTTTAATGTAATATTTTTTTTACATAAATATAATATTTATTATTGTGTGAATTTTACGTGAATCTTAATGAAAGGGATAAAAATTTACTTGATTTGGTAAAGCTTATTTATTCAAGAAAGTATTAATAATATTTTTTTGTCCAACAGTTATATGAATAATACATTTATGTCTTAATCTTATCATCTCTGTCATTATCCTTTTGTTTTCCCTTGTTGTGTTGTAAGTGGTATTTCTTTCACATCAATTTTGTCGGCTACAAAGAATAGCTAATCCATTATTTTTAATCAAAGGTTGCAACTGTATGTGTTGCGGGTTGCATTAATTGTCCCGTGGCGGAGGTTAGGTGGGCTAAGTTACTGTCGAATCATAGCGCTTGGGCTGCTGCGCTCTTAAGTAAAAAGAGTTGCGCCCTGACTATCAACTATAGCTTTTGACCTAGTGGTAAACGCTCGATCCAATAATTAGTATCAGAGCCAAGGTCATGAGTTCGATATCCAGCGGGGCAATTGCTGAGGGGGAGATTGTTGCGGGTTACATCAATTGTCCTGTAGCGGAGACTAGATGGGCCAAATCACTGTCGAACTCATGGCGCTTGGGTTGCTGCGCGCTCGATCCAACAATATGCATTAGAAAATGATATTCATGATTGATTTTAATTGTACAATTCAAGTATACTTTTTCAATAATAAAGAAAAGAAACCACGTATATTATAACATTATTTTTAAAGTTAATCATCTATATACGGTTAATATAAAGTTTTTTACACTAACAATTAATTATATCTTTTAAATTATTTTATTTTATTTTTATTTTATTAAATAAAAAATTGACACAATACTAATAATAAATATGATTGGTTGTCCGTGTAAAAAAACTTTACATTTATAATATATAGATGATTAATTCTTATTTTTATCCTTTTCTTCTCTAAACCACACGAATGAAAGTAAGGTGACAAATAACATGCAATTTCATCTTCTTACCTATTAGACTTTCAATTAGCAAAATTCATGCATCAAAATCTTAACACTACCCTTTTTGTGTAAAAAAAAAAAACTTACGCTTTTCTTACATTTTTTATATAAGAAAAAACATGAAAGCGGGTACGAGAGCTCATTTGTTTCGTTTACACAAAATAATGTTAAAATGACATAAAGAAATGATATTGAAAACATGTGTTAAATATGTTTTTTTAGTTAAAATGAGGATTTTGATTTTGATCCTGAAATTTTTTTTTCTCACACTAATTTAGAACTATTAATTTTAGTTTATATATTATGTAATTATTTTTAATGATTTATTTGTGTTATTAAAAAGTAAGTGATTATTTTATTTGTTATTCATAATTGTTAGTGACATCATGTTAATGTGTTATTTCTAATTTTTTTATATGTAATTAGAATAAATATTATTTATCTATCTTAAAATCATTGATAAAAATTAAAAGTAATAATTTTATATATTAAAGAGATAAAAATTAAAGAAAAATGTTTTATACAAATCAAAATCAAAACTTACTCATTTCACAAAGATTAAAACTTATGTATACAGATTTTAAAAGGATAAAAAAAATTATAAAGATCAATATTAAAACTTATTTATTTTATACTAATAAAAAACATATTTAAACACAAAATTTTGCAGCATGATTGTTGTTTGGATATAGGGACCTTGGTTATTTTAGACGATCATTAGTTATAGTTTGCATCAAAAGAAAAAGGGGGCTGTGGGCATGAATCCGTAGGGGGTAGGCATACTAAAATTTGAAATTGTTAAATTGAAGTTGAAATTTCGTTTTATCTCAATTATAACAACCAATAAAAAATAGTAGACGTGTTTCTTTTTTTTCCCTTGAGGTTATACAAAAGGATTAGAGAATGTTGCATGCATATATTGTCTAAGCAACGACATAGTTTGTTTATGCTAAGCATTAAGCTCAAAATGAAAAATTGGTGAATGAATGGAGGTCAAGTCACCAAATATAATGTCATGATCAGTGTCTGCGTAGATTCCAGAATCTTGAGTTTCAAAAAATGTTTGAATATCTTCAGGGAATGATCGAGGAGGAGGGTTTGACTTTGACTTTGAGGGTGGAGGGCAATCCTGTACCATTTCTTTCAATTTCAATGACTCAAAAATAGGCCCAGATGATGGTCTTGTGATCTCGCTTGTACTTGGGCTCACGTTGTGGGCTTCAGACTGGGCTTCGTCTTGGGCTTTTGGACGTAGCCAATTCGTATAACGACTAAGGTCAAAGTTTGTAACCGCATTAAGTCCACGGTACTCTATGGCTGCCATATCGTACGCCATCGCTGCTTCTTCTTCTGTACCTGCATTGCCACATTACAATTTATAAATGCTTCACCACTTCAATTCAAACATAAATTGTCTTTATACAATTATTGTTATAAAATTCTGTACAATAATATAGAGATATAAGAAGAAAAAAACATAAATGTGTAACATGAGATATGTCGATAAATTAAATAAAAACTAATATTATAAAAATTTACTATTCTTTATACATGGACCAACAATTATGGAGTGACTTCACAGCGTGGTTCTCGTTAAATTGAAACTATCTTATTGTTATTTTAATTCAACTTTTAACCACAATATATTAACACATAATTTTATAAGATTTTGAACATACCAATTAGATCTATAAGTATTTAATATATTTTATACGAAAAATATTTACTAATAAAAAATAAATATTAAAAATTTATATATTTGATATAATGAGTAAATATTTTATGATTTAAAAATGTAATGTGCTTTTATATTTCATCTAATAATAAATCATTATATACGTTGTAACAAAAAAAATCATATATATTGAATTTATTAATTTTTATAATAACCACTTTAAAAATTATATCAACAATATTTTTTATTAGTTGACAAATAGCTCATAAAAATTAAACTCTAATGTAATATTTATTAAGTAAAAATAAAATAAAAAATAAATTTTAAAATACTAGTTAGCATTCTATTAATTTGCGTACAAATTTTGGTGGAAGATATTTTGCTTCTTATCCTGTAAAAGGGCCCTAGAAAGTAGAAAGAACGAGATCATTTTTAATTAGTCTTAATAAGCAGTTGAGGTTTGGTGATCTACATCCCAACGAATTAGATTTGATTGCATATTTTCATTATTTTAAGAGTCCCAGTTGATTTTGACCTGCTAGATCCATATTAAAATGACGTACGAACTTTATTTTTCTTGGAACTTCTTTTTTTTTTTTCTTTCTAAGATTGACTTATTCATTTGGCATATAGTGACAAAAAAATGAAGTGAGTATTGAGGAAAATATTAAGTAAATAAAACAATAAATACTAAATTTATCATAAATAATTAAAATTAAAATATAATAGTTATATATTTTAAAGTAATTACATTACTCTTTTATTTTAACTATTTATATGTAGTTTATAATTCATATTTCTTTTGTATAAAATTAATCTTGTCATTAAATATATTCTCCATTTCTTTTAATAATTATATATGTTATTAGTACCGATATTTACAAAAAAGGAATGGGGGGATTTTAAAAAATAAAAGGATAATAGTGAATGGATGGAGGCTTAATTTTCAAATATATTTAGTGTATAACTTGAACTTTTAATTGCCAAAATAATTAATATGTATCTCTCTAAACCCTAAAATAATTAATGCATATCTTTCCTACTCTTTAAACAAAGCATCTATCTTTTGTACCAAAACAAAATGCACATCTCTCTCTCCAAGCAAAACTAAGTTTAATTTGTGAACTTATTACAGTACAAATTAAAAAGCAATACACAACATTTACTTCAAATCAATATGTATAACGCAAGCAATCCCAAACATGTCTTTTAAGGTTTATGTCGACAAATTTTTGAGTAAATTGTACTTACATTACTGTCTTTTATTGGAATCTAAAAAAGAAGAAAAATGATTTTTTGTTACATAAGAAAAATGATTTTGTTAATCACTGTTTCAAGATAAGGAATTAAAAGTATATTTTTTATTAATGAAAATATTATTAAAAAATGAAATATTTAATATTATTAACATATTTCTATCCTAATTTTTAATAAATGTATTTAATTTGTTATTATTTTTTTTCTCAATTTATTATTTTCTTATTCATTTTTATTACCTAACAAAATCATGAGAATAAATATTATTACGTTGAAACTAATAGAGTTGAAGTACTTGATGTTTTTTGTTTAAAAATAATAGAGGTTACGATTTAATGTAAATTAAATTAGATAATATATAATTAAAAAAACTAAAATAATTTTAAGTAAAATTAGAAACCAAAAATGATTATAAGAGAATAATTATTATTAATTGAATAAATAATTCATTTTTATACATATTTTTATTTTATTTTATCTTTAAAAGATATGATGGTGAGAAAAAAAATATGATAAAAAATATAAATGTCCGTGAAATTAATTTTTTATTTATAATATAATACAATTAATTAAACTATTATCCATATCATTAAAATAAATATAAAAAAAACTTAATTATAGTATTAGCTTTAATCTCTGTGAAATTACCGTAAGTTCCGAGGTATAGATATTTGTTGCCGAAGACTCTGCCAATTCGAGCTTCCCATCTTCCATTGTGATGATGTCTATCAATTCAAGAAAACAAAGTCAGGGCATTTCAGACAATTTTTCAATTTATTTTATTGGTGAAAAAAATAAACTACATCATCATCTTGCTAAAACCCTCTCCTCTTTTTTTTTTTTTTTTTTTTTTTTTTT